TCTTCGTAAGAGAGTGGCAGAAATGAAGAAAAACAGGCTAATAAAAGAAGTAAAAGAATAAGCACCGCCAGCATCCATAGTGAGTGGAACCGTTTCCGCCGCAGTCACTCCCAACAACAACAACTCACACACACAGACACACGGAACGAGAAAGAAGAACAGTGCACCGGGAACACACAGCGACTGCCACCACCAGCAGGTGTCACGGCGGGTGCGCAATTATTCGTCACACACCGAGCGACGCCCACACACGAAAAAAACAACCAGCGGGAGGCAAAAGAGCACAACAGCCCTTCGAAGCACCGACACGCTGCCGCCCGTCGTTTAATTCTTGTCCCTCCATCGCACCCGCTCCGCCGCTGGCGCACATCACCCCGCACAGCCCGAGGTTCTCCTGTCGACGTATCCACAGCCGCAGTGATGCGTCGACAGCCGCAACTGCTAAGCAAGAATTCATCCGCACATGTCCCAGCCACCCAAAATGTCACACCACTCACCGGCCGCACGCTGCCAACATCACGCCCACAACACATCGGAAACATTCAAATCACGGCTCCCGTCCTCCCTCCTCGCGAGATGCCGCACCATGGCAGCACGTCAGCGCGGCCACCCACGCCAGAAGCTACCGCTCGCAACACCATCTAATGTGCCGTGCGGGCTGCACACAACTCCCCGCATCGTGCGAGATCAGCCCCCACCCACGCACATCATCGCCAACGCGTTGCAGTCCGCAACAACAAATACGGCAAAAAGAGTCTCCACGCCACCCACAGCAGGAACATCGGTGCCGCACACACAACACCAAAAAAAAAGAAGCAGCGCAGAAGCGAGCCGACACGCACACCTCCACACGCACGGCATAAAGCCTCTCCCATCATATGCGTGGTCCAGCCGAGACAGCAACAAAGGATACAGGGGTAAATGCAACCCTTGCCATCCCCGCTCCCAAAAACACAAAGCGGGGAATACACCGCAGCTCGGACACGGCACAAGCGAGCATCGCGGGCGGCGGCGATGAGGTCGGTACCCATTCACTCCCCTCTGTTTCGTGTGGGCAAACGGCTCCGCCCATGAGAGATTACAGATGCGCGCATACTCAAAGACTGACCATGATAAGCGGTCACTCTTTATCCACGGCTGGGTCGCCGCGTGTTGGTCGACGGTGAGGCACATCCACCACCACAATACGCCACGGACAGCGAGGCTCTAGCGGCGCAAAGGACAGCGATCCCAGCCACAGCGCAGTCGTGCCGACCAAGAAAGCGATATACCGCCGCTGTGCACACACCTCGGAGGGCCGCAGCTGCATGGCACCAGTGATGCGCACAACTGTCAACAGCGGGACGGCATGCAGTTTCCTTCGTCCGTGCCTCACTCCAACAACAAAAGCAGCACAGAAGGCCGCCATGGTCCCTGTAGCAACAAATTCCTTTCGGGAATAGCCGTGACGACATCCTTCGGTGGGTGCCGCGGCCGGGACC